GGCTGACCCTCCCCAAGTCATCCCCAGGGACAGTGGTAGTAATAGTAGGGTCTGATGGGACCATTTCAGGTTTCCTCCAGCTCACTGAAGTCTGAATAAAAGGATCTTCAGAAACCTGCTTTAGAAGATCTGTAACTTACACCGGGGGGCGGGGTGGGGGTTGCGGAAACAAGATGCTTAAGTGCTCACAAGCATCTGCCCCTTAGCTCCTCTCTAAGGGGACTGTCCGCCTTTTGGTTTATGTTCTAAAACCCGCAACAAAGACCCTGGGTACTTGTATCTCCATCATCCAAGACCAACATGCTGGACCTTTGGGGTGGAAAGCACTGGGTGGAAATGGGGCTGGGGGAGGTGATAGGTAAACATTTCTGGAATCCTCCAGCATCTGGCTGTTTCCCAATTTCTTCCAAGCAGGTTTCGCTTATTGACAAAGCTCTCGCCCATCTTTCCCTGCTTTCCCTTCCTCCCAGGGGAGAAAGGACTTCCTTCCCTTTCTCCTGATGACTGACGAGGGGAGTCCTTTCGTTTTCAGCTCCCACCCACCCAGTCACCCCCACACCACCCCCAGGTGATCCAGCTTTCCATTCTGAAAGCAGGGAATACAGGGATACCCACAGATGGCTTTGAAAAGAGCAGGAATGTGAGAGAGGCTAATATTCTAGCCAAGGGGGAAAGGAGTTGGGGGAAGTTGTGAGTGTGGATGGATACACTGGTTTGGCTTCTCTTTGGTGCTTTCTCTTCAGATACCCCCAAACTGAGGGCACCACCATAAGGCATGTTCATTCCATCAGGATCCATCAAGCCGCCTACTGTGCCCTCAGCACTGCCCTTAACTGCAGAACCGCCCATGAGTAAGACAGCTCAGCCCTGGGGCACCCAGTCCCAAGGGAAGGAGCATAAACACACCAGGAAGCAAAGGCTGTGAGTTTCACTGAGGAAATCAACACGGCACTGCATGCAGGAATCATCAGAGGGACCTTTATTGCTGGGGTGTTCCTGGAAGCCAGCTCTGAGGAGGTGACATTTTAAGATGAGCCATGAGCCGGAGAAAGAGTTAGCCTCCCAGGTGGGGGTACTGCAGGGACAAAGGTGCTCTCAGTCGTGAAAGTGAGGCGCGTTCCAGGAACAGACAGACGGGTGGGGTAGCTTCCTAAGAGTGCTGGGAGGTGGGGGGGGGGGGCGGTCAGGACATAGAGGGCCCTGTTAACAGGTGAGTTTACAGCCCATTTCCCTATCAGCCAGGAAGGTCATGGGAAGTCTGCTGCCCAACCAGAGGTTTGAAATACCTGGAGCATCTGGGAAACAAACAAACAAACACAGAACAAACTGACTCCCTTTACTTCAATTCTTAAGCAAGACAGACCTTCCTCCGCTTTGGGCTACCTGACCAGAAATGAGTGGGTGACACGTTATATCATCTCAAAGGACAAAAGTGGGGGGCCGTGCTTTCCAGAACATGAACACATTAAAATTCACGTTTGTCCCAAATACTCACCCACTCAAGTCCACGGAAGGGAGCTGGCTTCAACTGTCTCCACTGCTGGGCTGCCCTGGAGAGGAGTCTTTGACAAGAACCACCGACTTCTTACCGCAGGGCAGTGAATCAGGCAGCCCACCCTGCAAGGGCCGGTGGGGAGTTAGGGGCAGGCGTGTGGGGCAGGGCTGCATCGATGAAGGGTTATCTTGACTTTATTTAAAATGTTGATATTTTGCTCGCCTGGAATTTGTTGCATTAATTTCGACCTTTTAAACACTGCAGTAAAATAGTGTTTGTGGTGACTTCTGCACTTGCGACATTTCCTCCAATTCCGTGCTCTAGGTGAGCGCCCCACTCTCCTCACCCTAACCCTGGCCCCCTTATGCCGCCATTCACGCTTACCAGGAGAGCCTTCATGACCAGGCCCCTTGGGTTCTGGAAGTTTTCCTACACCCCACACAACTTCCCCTGGAGTGGACTCCCTGTGTGGAGTCAGGTTGGAGATGTGTACACACCCAGTGGCAGGAAAAACATGACCGCACGACAAATGTCAAACCCTCAGTTAGCGGCCCGCACCAATGACCCCATGACCACGACCTCTGACCTTTTCAGATCCACTGAGGCAGGCCCGGGGGCCGCCCATCGACTGAAAGCTGGTACTGTGAAAGCTTCTGTCTCTCCCCACTCCAGATGGTCTGCAAATGTCAAAGAGGGGAGAAAAGGCCAAAATTTCCATAAATTAGCTTGAGCCAGGAGCCAGCGGGTGGATGGGTGGCTTTCTTGGCCAGTCTCAGGGGAAAGGGGGCTTGAATCTCTGTAATGCGAGCCCAGAGAGTGAGAAGGGGACGGGGAAGCTTTCAGGGTCTGGGTGCCTGCTCCAGGCCAGGGGCTGCAGGCCGAGCCTGAGATCAGGTCTGCAGGGACCCGGATGCGGTGTGAGGGGCTTTGGGCTTTCTCCGTCACGGGATGGGGGATCCAAAGATTTTAGGAATGAGCTGATGCAAATTGCTTCTGAAGTAGTAGAGAGGAGAGTGGAGACAGAGAGTGGGCAGAGAAAGTGGATATTTCAGAGAAGTGTTAGGGGACCCCAAAAGGGGTCCTGAAGTGTGTGTCCTGCGCTGGAGAGAAGGGGAGACCCTCGGACTGCATGGCCCTGGGAAGGGAGACATTTGTTCAGGAGCCCGTGACGTCACCTGCTTTTAAGAAAGATGACCTAATGGGGTCCCAAGCTCCGGGGGGCGCACCCAGTACCCCAGCATCAGGGGGACTTTCCCAGGCTAATTTGTCAGGGGGAGAGAGAAAGGCCAGAGGATTAAGGGGAAGGGCACAGAGGAAAAAAGGCTTTTTCACTAAAAGCCATGAGCCACTTGTTCCAAGCAGCAGTGGAGAGCATTCACGAAGTAGGGTTGTGCATTCATGGACAGCTTACAAAAGCCTCTGCACACGCACTCACACTGGAAACTGCCCGAAACGCAAGACGGATGCGTATTACTTCCATTTTTAAATAAAGCAGATCAATCCATGGAGGCTCAGAGAGGTTAAGTGATTTGCCTAAGGTCACACAGCTACTAAGGAGCATCCAGGCTGGGGGACATGAGGATGGATGTGGGGAAAAGCTGCCACTGGGTCCCAATGAAATTTGGGAGGCAAGACTGAGGTCCCAATGCCCGACAATGAGGCATTTGTAGGACCTGCACAGAAAGGACCAAAGCCAACAGCCCATCTAGGGAGCATGGTGAAGACCCCAAAGGCCCAGGATGGGTTAAAGCAAAGACCCTGCTCATGTGACATGGTGGTTGTTCACAGACCACTTCCTGCTCTTGTCAACTGCACTGGAAATTCCCCAAGGCAGGGCCTGACTCTCCTGTTTCCTGGTGGGCTATGCATATACAGCAGGTCTGAGCAAATGCGCTAGTCACTCACATTGCAGGCCCTGGGGAGGTGGTGGCAGTTCATTTAATCAGATCTGTAGAAGTTCCCCAGAGTTCGTCAATGGTCAACATCACTGGAAAGATTGGCAGGACATGGAGAGTTACAGCACCTTTAGAGACAAGAAAAAGGAGGCTCAGAGTGGGTAAGTGTTTTGCCTAAACTCACACAGCAGGGCTCATTCTTCAAACCCTCACCTGGGACCTTTCTTGGCTATCAGGCAGGGGCCTGTGTGCAATAAGGAGCGGTCCCTTTGCATGGGCCAAAGTCAAAACCCACCAAAAAGCCCGCTTCCTCCCCCAGCCGGCATGCGGGGCCTGCAGGCAGATCAAGGCTGTCTGCTCTTGTTTCAGGAGCTTCCATCAAGTTTCACATGGGGCGCTCTCGCCAGCAGGAATGGGGTGCACCCCTGGGTGGGGCCATGGGGCCATGGGATGCAGGGCACAGCTGTAAATACTGCCCACTCCCCAGGAGAGCTCCCACTTGAAAGAAAGGGGTCTTCCACTGTTGGCGTACTCAGCTGCCTGGGTTTGAACCCCAGCTGTCTGTGATTTGGGCCATTTGCGTGACTTCTCTGTGCCTAAGTGCCTCCATCCATAAAGTGGGGACATTAATAAAGGGATTAAATGAGGATTAAATATACTGGAATTAACGGGATGAGAACCTGCTTCCAGGCATGCCAGGGGCGGGCTGAGCCCTCAGCACACAGGCCGGTGAAAAGGCTCCAGCCTTTGCCTGACCCTCCTTTAATCACAGCACATCACTTCCTCTCTAGTTAAAGTGACCAAACTAATGAACGTACTAAATATATACGTGTATATGTATAACCAGTGTATCAGCATTTAATCACTCTATTGAATATACATGTATCTAAGCATACACATATCCATGTATTTTCAATTCTTAGTTGTTATTGAAGTGGAGTCAATTTACAATGTTAGTTTCTGGTGTTTAGCAAAGTGATCCTATTATACATTATATATATATATATTTTTTTTTTTAAGAGAAGCAGGGGGTGAAAAGTGAGCTAAATCCTTATTTTTCATACGCAGACTGCACAGATAATGTCTACCTTTAGGGAATCCTGGAAATAGTGATCAAACACGATTTAGTGTTTAAAAGTAGCCACCAGAACTTGAAGTGGAGTTCCAAGGGGCAGAAAGAAGAGAGGTGAGAAACAGTTCCTTTTTTATCACAAGCTCCTGACAACTGCCATTAGATCTGATCCCAAGGGCACGGGACTCAGTGAAACACGTTTTAAGCACCCTGACGCCGGGCCGTGCGTCCGCAGCGGGGACCCGGCCAGTGGACGCCCTGCCCGCCCCTGTCGGCCGGCCTGGCCCCAAAGACTTTTCCATAGCACCCTTGCTCAGTCCCCAGCGCGAGGCACAGATGTCCCACAGGAACATAGCTGCAACAGTGACTCACCTCTTCATTTTTAGTGCGTCCTCTCTGAGCCTGCGGCTCTGTCTTTGCCGAGCAGCTGTCTGTCTGGGGGTCACGGCCTGCTCGCTGGCCTCACTGCCCCGGGGGCCTGTGCATGGGGGGGGGCAGGGACCGGCGTCCACCCGGCTAAGACAGGGAAGTGGGGACAAAACGGACCCAAAGTGTATCTGGACCCGGGAATGCGTTCTGCGGCCCTCTGAAAGTGTGGGTCTGCAGCAGCCTCTGGAATCCTGGCGCCTTGAGCAAAATAATTCAAAACTCTGCTCTCAGGGTCTGTGGGCTGACTGCCTGGCGTGGGGCTCCTGAGCGCTTCGCTCCCTCATTCCAGGACCGGGCTGACTGCATCACTCCACGGCCACATGCACAGGCGTCTCCAGCTGAAAGGGTTTTCGTGGCTGTTAACTTGCTGGTTCACACCTTTGGGGCTTAAGGAGCTTTTAGCTGAAAAGGCCTTTTCTGCCAGCTTGAGTGAACAAAAAACCTATTTATGTCTTCAGAGCACCTAATTAAGGCAGGGCTGGGAGAAAATCAGTGACAGAGCGGTAGTGAAAATGCAGGCCTTTAAGTCAGGAGAAGGCTGCCCCAGGCCAGCGGGGTGTTCCTGGGGAAGCTGCGTCCCCTTCCAATGTTTGTTTCGTGAAGTTGAAAGAATAACATAACGAAAGCCCAAACGCCCTTCTCCTCCGCCGGCCGACTGTTAACATGTTGGACCATCCAGCCTCTCTCTCTCTCTCTCTCTCCTGTGTGCGTGTAACATCTAGTTGGTCTGTTTCCTGAACCATTTTAAACTTAGTGGCAGACATCCTGACCCTGAACCCCCAAATATTTCAGCAGCACCTGAAGTAAGAACAAAGATGCTCTCCTACACGACCCGCATAGTGTGACCGCGCAGAGGGAAATTAACATCGGTGCGGGGACATGAAATGACCTCCACCGCGTATCGGAATTCCCCCCAGTTACCCCAGTAACATCCTGGAGAGCCGTTCTCTTTTTCAACCCGGGGCCCAAGCACAAGACGTCCTCAGTTGGGACAATGATGGGTGGGGGCCAGTTTCTCCGGGGGTCTCTTGTGTCTCTCTGCACAGCTTGTGAGCTGGGGCCTGGCTGCCCTGTGTCTGGACTGTCATTTTGAGGATGTTTGTGAGGAGAACAGCTTCAAAAGATAGACATGGTGTCTCCCTTCAAAGCAAAATGCAGGTGTGCATACCGTCCAGCACGAGTCTATCTCCCCCGGGGGCGGGGGCGGGGATCAGACAGGCTTACTGCCCGTTATAAAACATTTGGTTTCCTTCAACGCAGGGCTCCTCTCCTATAGTGCAAGGCACTGTGTGTGCAGCGTCAGTTGGCCTTTTTGAGTGGCCCTGGGGGAACTGGGGCTTGGAAAAGTGGCACTCTGGCTACTGCCAGGGCTGTCAGTGACAACGTCCTTTGTCTCGGACCCCAGTCTCCCGTCTCCTGACAGCGCCCGGGAGTCTGCAGCAGGCTAACGTCTTAGCTGGCCTGGGGGTCTGGGGGTGAAATCTGAGACTCTTAATAAAAAAGTCTTTGACAGTCATTTTCAGAGAGGAGTACGAGTCACTTCACACCCTCAATGGTCATTTCTCTTTTGTCCCTTTTGGTTCTAGAATAGTCCCATCTTTTATTTGTCTTTCCAGACACGGAGAGTTTTAAAGCGTTCAGGCCAGGAGGTTTGTCTGCGTCTGACGGCTTGCTGCCTCGCGATCAGACTCAGGGTACACGCTGCGGCGGGAACTTCACAGGGGCGATGCTGGCATCACGGCAGAAGGGATGTCGGGTCAGCCTGCCTCATTCTCCATCAGACTCACATCTCGTCACTTGGCTGAGGTGGTGTCCACCGTGCTTCTTCCCTGTGAAGTTATCTTTTTCTTGGTGATCCCCCAGGAACCTGCGGGGAGCGGTTTTGAGTCTATGGGAATGCCCTGTTCCCTGACAAGCCTTACCTTCGCCGGCGGAGGGCACTGTGCTGGATGACAGCCCCGGACACCGGGGCGATCAGGTTTTCCTCCTGCAACAGGGACCCCTCGACCCGCAGAGCTTAAAATATTTCCCAGCTGGCCCCTTGTAGGAAAAGTTTGCTGAGCCCTGCAAGGGGGGCCGGCGGGTGGGGGAAGTATGGAGGCAGAATTGTGAGTCTCTGAATTACTGTCAGTAAATCCCCTTTAAATACATTCCTTTTTCCATACCACTTTTGTTACCATTTTCCCATTTTTTTTAGAGGTTCATGGTTGTCTTGCTCTCAAGCCACACTTAAAATTAAGGACAAGCATCTTTAGAGTTTGACACATGTGGAACCAGGACCCACGGGCGGACCAGAAGCTGTGGAAGCTGCCCCTTCTTCAAGCCTCTCCCCTGGCGAATCCGTGCGAGGCAAAATGTTCTGGGGTTTCCGGACCGAGGCACGCCATCCAAATTGGTTTCAAATGATTTTCTCTGACTAGAAAGCATCATGTCACGTTAATTGGTGGGTATGTCTGCCCGAGTCCATGATGCCAAAACATCATTTCTTGATTTAGAGGGTTTGGGGAATGAAAAAGTTGTTATACTGACAAAAAAAAAAAAAAAAAAGTCCTTCAAAACCCACTATGGCTTTTCAAGAGCCAGTAGGGCAAACGCTCCGGAACGGAACGGCCGTTCGGGGCTGCGTCTGAATTAAGAAGCAGGCGGGACATCTGTGCGCGTTAAACACGTGTAAGACTGAGTCGAGCCTGGTTAGAGCCAAAGGGAGGCCAGAGAAGCTGAGAGGCGAGCAGAGGAGAGAGAAAATCCTTCAGCGGCTCCCGCCAAGCTCGGAGCTGTTTCTCTGCACCTCCAAGGGACGGAGGGAGGGCACAAAGCTACCGGGGCCACCCCCACCCCCCGCCCCGCCAGGGCCCCAGGGTGAGCACACCGCAGAGAAGAGCAAACAAAGCCCGTTTCTACTCACTCCTCAAGGAAGACACAAGTCTGGGCAGATTTTCTGGTTGTGCGGTTTTCGGCTGGAAGTGAAGGCCAAGGGCATCGCGTAGGAAGCAGAGGAAAGGCTCCGGCTGCTTGTGGGATGATGCCCAGGGGCTCCCAGGAGGGCAGAGTCTGGGTACCAGACTCAAGGGAGCGGGGAGGGCTCAACAATGCTCCCTGGACAGTCCTGAGATGCTGAGGGGAAGGGTGGAGGCTTCTTGTCTGCCATCCCTCCAATCAGGAATTATTAACTGAGCGCCTATTGTATGCATGGCACTGGGGACACAGCCATGAGCAAGTCAAACTTGGTCCCCATCCTTAAGAAATTTCCAGTGGGGGCTGGGGGGAGGGGGGAAGAAAATAAGGAAGGTAACTTCAGAGAGTTAGGAATACTGTACAGATAAAATAGGATAAGAGAATAGAGAATAAGCAAGATGGAGCTGCTTTATATGGGTGGTGAGAGGAGTCACGGAAGCTCAGTCAGAGATGAGTTTGAATGGTGACAAGGGGCTGGCTCTGAGTAGGGCCTGAGGAAGGGCATTCCTGACAGAGGACACTGGTGGTGCAAAGGCCCTGCGGCCACCACGAACTCAAGGTGATATTTATACAGGGAAGAATATAAAGAGAGACACAGAGAAAAGAGCAGGGGGAAAGAAACAGAGGAAGGAAGACAAGAAAAAGGAGATGGGAGGGAAAAAGTGAAAGACTGGAGTTGTGAAGGACTGGAGGTAAAGGACAGGAAAATTCACAGAAGGGGTGGGGAAGAAAGCCACTGCCCACAAAGACGAATTGATGCATTGCGAGCACATGCGGGGCGGAAGGAAGGTGGGGTACGTGCAAAGCTGGCCCTCACTGCCGCTGCTCCTGAACGATCCCTACTTGTCTCCACATGCATGCACTTGGCCTTTTTGCTAGTTTTGTGTGTGTTTCGTTCTTATATCCCCAGCTGGATTATAAGCTTTCCAAAGGCAGAGAGCATGCTTTATACATTTTTTTTCTTTTTCTTACCACAATGCTTATAACAACACTTACCACAGTGCTCTGTGTACGGTGGGCTTATTAATTATTGTATGAACAAAGGGATGGATGGATGGATTCTCAAACCAGACTGTGTTTCTCTGCAATTAGCCACATTGTTTATAGTTTGCTCAGGTTGGATAAATATTTTACACACATACACACACTACACACACGTCCACGTGGAACACAAGTGTGAACCTGCATGCTCACTTAATTTAAAGAACATCTCTGACCCTGGGCTTTTCTAAAGAAAGGACTAGCAGCTTGGCAAACTGATGCCAGGAGGTTTAGGAAGAGGCAAGGATCACCTGCCACATCGGGGTGAACACGATGCCTTTCACACCAGTGCAGAGATGAACAAGAACAAGGCGGAGAGACTGAAAAGAGGAGGAAGAGATAGGTACCTGTTAATGCTCACCAGTCTTCACGTTCCTCTCTTCCTCCAGGGGACAAGGCTGTTCTGTGTTCCCCAGGCTTCTGCACAGATAGGTGTGGCCTCAGGGTTGAGTTCCGGCCACTGGCTGGAATGTGGGTGGGACCCTGGCCCCTAGAACTTCTCTTGCATTTTTTTTCTCCTGCCACTGGCTGAAGGGAGAGGACTCCAAGGACCTAACGGAGGGAGGAGCCCCAGGCTGGAGGGTGCCTGGGTCCCTGGATGAGTGTGTGGAGAAGAGCCTGCTGGCTCACAGCTGTGTGGACGCTGAGGTTTGGGGGTTGTTTGTTGCAGCAGCTGATGCGGCCTATGCTGACAATGAGGAGATGGGGAAGGTGAGACGTATGGCTCTTCCCTCCCATGGAAGCCTCCAGAAGAAGGGGATCTCAACTCACTGGCATCTAGAAGCCAGCTTCTGCGACCTGAAACGATTCTCCCTGTGCACCAGCATGGTGGACAAGCCCAGGGAAGGAAGGACAGAACGGCTTCATTTCCCACAAGAACAAGGGCACCTGAAGTTGAGCCATTTGACATGGGGGCCACTTAGCTTAAGGCTTTTAAGGATTAAACTGAATCCTTAAGTTAGAAACACTGAAGAAGAAATGATAAAAAAGCATCATTGCCTTCCAGAAGGATTGGGCCCTACCTCCTGGGAGTTTCTTTACAGAAAAAGTGAAATATATACATATTTTTTTCTATAGGTTTAAAAACATGGACTTTCAAAAACGTCCATATTTTAAAAACTAGGGGAAAAAGCTGGACACTGGATTGGAACTTCATCTTGAAAAATAAATTGGAAATGATACAAATGTTTAAAAATTAAAAATAAACTAAAAAACTAAAATTTTTAAATGTTTTTTTCATTTTCCTTTACCAAAGTGTGGTAACTCTGCTCTTCATTCTTAGAGCAGACAAATGACCAACAGTGATTTTTCTTTTTCTTTTACTTCCCATGTTTTCTTCCCTCAAGAACATTGTCTAACAGCATGATTGACATACTTCCCTTCACGTTTGACCTTTCTTGCAACTCTTGTGGGTCCGAGATTATCTTTTTTTTTTTTTTTGTAAGAAGTTCAAGGATTTAATCACCATTTTCACGGGCTTCTTTTAATCCTTGCAAGTTGAAGTCACTGTCTTGCAGGCGACGTTTAGTCCTGCTGGGTGCCATGTGGACGGGCCAATGTCCCTCGAGTGACTGCGGGGGCGAGACGTTTTGCCACCAGCCTCACCCGGCAGACAGTTCCCTGTGTGTCTCCTTTCTCCCTCCCTCCAGGCCGTGCTAAGCAAGGCTTCTGCAGTTGCCACCTCCCACCTGAGCGACTTGAAGGAGCGCCATCTTGCAAGGGGGTCCCCTCCGTGGGAACGTAAATGGCCACCTTGACTGTGGCGCCGTTTGCTGGCACGTGCTGGCCTTGGTGTTTCTGGGAGGTTCGCAGGGGACCCTGAGCCCAGGCCATCCGCCGTACTCCCTACCACTGTTTTCCCAGCCTGCTCAGCTATTCGTGGGGAAAGTACCACAGTGGGGAGGCAGGCTTTGCTCAAAAGCCAAAGAGCAGAAAAACAGGGCAAAGGGAAAGAACTTTATTAAAAAAACAGACTTTGAGAAACAGCGAATGCCCTTGGTGAGCAAGTCCTTTCCCAGGGTTTCTCAATGTTCAAGGGGATTCAGCAGTGGCAGAAAAGGCTCCGAGCTAAAGGAAATACCCCGGTTCCAGGTTTACTGCCCATTCGCTGGGTTTGCCCACGGCGGGGCTCCTGGCACCGGCCCGTGTGGAGGGCCCGGGGAAGGCTCTGTTTCGTAGCCAGCTGGATAGAAAGGTGGACATCTGGAAGCTTCTTAGAGTCCTCCTGTCTGGGCTCGAGAAGTTGCTTTTCTATAGTCACTGCTGGTGCCTAGGTTTCCAGTCAAAGAGGAAGTGGAGGGTGAGGAACCGACCGCCTGATTCTGTTCACTATTCAGGGCTCTGCTCAGATGTCACCTCCTTCAGGGCGCCTTCCCGGACCGTTCTGCCTAATCGCCCCCCTCCTCGCCCAGGCAGTCTGTATTTCCACGCCCTGCTTTGCGGTCTTCAGAGAATGTATCGCCACCTACAATGACGAGGTTCGCTGGTTTTGTGTCTCCCGCGCTGACAGGTAACCCCACGGAGGAAGGAACTTTAACTATTTTATTCACCAGTCAATTCCCAGCACCTGCAAAAAAGTTGGGCACATAGCAGATGCTCATTAAACACTCGCTGAATTACGTGGAATCCTTAAGTTAGAAACACCGAAGAAGAAATGGATAGAAAACGTCATTGCCTCCCAGAAGGACTGGACCCCACCTCCTGGGAGCTCCTTTACCAAAAAAATTACATATATATACATTTGTTTTCTATACATGATTCAGTGAATGGAACTCTTGTGCAAAGTGTGGAGTGAGATAACCGGGGTCATTGTGAAGAATACAAGGAGATAATTGTGCAAAGTATTTAATGGAGTGTCTGGTACGTTGTGAGTGTTCAGTGAGTACTGGCACTTAATAGTAATAACTCACAGTGAGCGCAAGGTCAGCTGAGTTCTGTCTTTTCCACACATGCTGTTATAAATTCACATCTTCTATTTCTAGTCCTTCTGGTTTTTGGAGATGTGGTCTGATCCATGTACGATTCATCTTGTCACGCTCCGCCAAAAATATTTCCTCATTCATCAGACTCGTTGTCCCAGATTCGTAGCATTTTTGAATGTGATCAGCACATCTCTGAAGGCCTTGTGAAAGATCATTAATAAGAATGTTGAAGTGAATGAGACACAGGCAGAGTCTTGCGGCACACACACCGTGAGAGAACTTTCTGCAGGTTGGCATCAATGGCATTAATTCAGCCCTCCTTGGTTCCTCACTCTCATGGTTACAGAACCAGCCAGTCATGCTCTCACTGAGCTCACAGTTCTCCCTCTTGTTTATGAGAAATAAACTTGTCGATGCCTCAATGAAATGCAGTCACACTTATCACCACAGAATTCCTCTGATAAATCTAGCAACCTAGAGTCATCTGTCAAGTAAGTAAAAGGCATCTGTCAGGTGTGACTTGTTCTAAGTGAACCCATGCTGGCTTCCAGAGATCAATCTTTTATTTTATAGACTCAAAACAATCCTATTAGTAACTATTATCAGTCAGCTTAGGCTAAGCTACGCTACAGTAACATGCAGCCCCAGATCTCTGTGGGTTACAGCAACAAAGGTTTACTGCTCATACTGCATGTCCATCCCAGGCCGCATGAAGTTTTTCTCCACATCAGTCTTCATTCTGGAAACCCAGGCTGAAGGAGCCAACACTCTTGGGATGGACCAGGCTTGTGGAAGGGAGACAAGCAAAGCGCAGGACCTCATGGTAGCTCTGTGGGCCTCCGCCCAGAAGTGAAACACATTGCTTGTGCTCACACTCTGTTGGTTAAGACAAATCGCCTGACCGAGCCTGGCAGCAATGGGGCAGGGCTACACGGGGGGACATGGTGGGGCTCCACTGGGAGGCGCAGGGCCGTTGGCAGCAATGATACAAGCTACCACCCCATCGAGAGCGGACTCGGCTCCTACTTCTTTAGACAAGTGGGATTTTCCCCTAATACAATAGTTTCTGGGATTACCGAACTGACAGCAGTGGAATTCAGGGAACAGCGGGGATGATTTAGGTACGGACGCGAGCTCCTGCCCTGCGGGGTGCACACAGGGCTGGGGCCCCGGACACTCAGGGCAGGTGCTCTGCGTTCCAGTTCTCCACCCAGTTCCTGAGCCAGAGACCCCAGACTCAGCGGACCCCCAGATCCCGTGTAGCCTTTCTCTTAAGCATCTCTGGGCTCTTTTCCCTCATCTCCAACTCGATGTCAATGCCCGAGTTTAAGATCAAATCCCCCCTCCTCTGGGATTTGAAATCACTTCCTACATGGACTCCTGGTCTCCCTCCTGTTTCCTCCACTCATCGGCCACCAGCTGGCTGAGGGATCTTTTGAAATTCAAGGGCGACCATGTCCCTCTCTCTTTTCTCTAAATCTTCAATGCTATGTCCTTACCTGTGGGCTAAACTTCAGAGTCCTCAGAAGACAGCAGAATATATGGAAAAGAGCAGAATTTTCATATCAGTCTGTCTTGGGTTTAAAGCTGGGACCCCCACCTCCACTGCCGTCCACTGCCACCAACTAACTGTGTCATCTCTGGCCACTCTCTCCACCTCTCAGAACCTCTGTTCCCTCATCTGTAAAATGGTGACAGTATTAGTCCTTACTGACAGGTTGCTGTGAGCATTAGATGAGAATGCGCGGAAGACACTTAGGAAGTGCTCAGTAAATGGCAGCCAGTATTATGGTCTCAACTTTAATATTATGAGACCCCGTTCTAGTCTTCTAGCCACTGCCCGTCTACCCTGCTCCTCCTCCCCTCCCCGCTTTGTGTGCTGCACTGTCCCCTAAACATGCCACCCCCTTTTCCATCCTAGGGCTCTGACGTACATTCCTTCTGCGTGAAACGTCCTCCCTGCTGGGAAAATGTAGGAAGGTGGGGGGAAGCGTCCGGCTTGAGAGCAGCTTTCCTCGTAACTGCCAAACCCTGGAGGCGACCGAGATGTCCTTCAGTAGCTGAATGGACGCACCGGGTCCATCCAGACCAGGGGATATTATTCAGTGCCGAAAAGACGCGAGCCACAGGAAGCCATGGAGGAACCTCAGACGCGTACGACTCAGTGAAAGAAGCCGATCGGAAACGGCTACACAGGATGCGGTCCCAGCTCCGTGACACTCTGAATACGGCAGGACTATGGGGACAGGACAGAGGCCAGCCTTTGCCAGGAGCCGGGGGAGGGGACGACGGGGGGGGCGCACAGGGGGATTTCAGGGCAGTGGAGCCGCCTTATATAATAGTGTAAAGGTGGGTGCGTGACCTTGTGCCTTTGTTAAACCCCATGGAACCACACAACAAAAAAGAGTGGAATCTTAACGCAAACCATGGACTTTAGTTAATAGTAATAGGTCAATATTGATTCATCAGTTGTAACTAAGGCAAGGTGTGACCAGTGGGGGCTGGGGGGGGCCGGGTAGGCGGGCTGCCTTACGGACTGCTCTGTCCTCTGTAAGCCTAAAGCTGCCCTCTCTCTCTACGTAACACGTACAATGTATAGTATATATAATGCACTATTGTTTATTAAGTGTCTGAAAATGCCTGCTCTCCCTGAGGAGTCTGCCTCTGCTACTGACTACACACATCACCACCTAACATGTTATTCATTACTTGGATAAGTTATTCAGCCTCTCTGAGCCTCGGTTTCCTCGTCTGTAAAATGGGGGTCCCAACAGCGTCTCCCCGACAGGCTTGCTGTAAGAATGGCGGGCATGGGAAAAGCACGCAGGACGGCGGTGCGCGCGGGAGCGCTGGGTAAGCGCTGCGTAAGTGTTAGCTGGTATTAATGTTATCGCCATGTGGCTGCACCGGACGCATCAGCAGTGACTGGGACTTGAGCTGATGGAGGAGGAACAGGGCTGGTGGGGGTGCCACTCACCCACCCCCCGAAGCAGACAGAACCCGGGGACCCTGGAGGTCAGTAGCTCCGTGTCCTCTCCTGAAAAACACAATGCCAGTCTCCTTCCAGTCAGGAAACCGCTGGTCTCTGGTTCTCTTCACCAAGAGCCCAGGGCTTTGTCGGGCCTCCAGGGGAGAAGGCTTGAGGCTAGGAAGCCCCAGGCCCCCACGCCCTTTGTCTGAAGAGGGCCAAGCTCTCGTCCCCTCACGGCAGTGTTCCCAAAGGGCTGTGGCAGCAGAAGCAGCAGCAGCGGGGATGACGCAGGCGGGAGCAGCACTGCGGCCCCAGCCGGGGCTCCCCATCCTCTCAACCCGCCTCCGCCCTCGCAGGCGTCGCCCAGCTCCGCGCAGGTGCAGTGGGACAGACCTCAGACCTCGTGCTGCTGCCCCGGGGGGCTTCACACACTTGCAGGGACCTGCCTGCCCCCTGTGCCTGCGAAACCCAAGAGTGTAGGGGTGTTCACCTCCACGGGCCACCAGTGGGGAACAGAAGCCAGTGGAAGAAGCGTGCTTCCCCTTCCATCCTCCTGGGGGACGGTTCTGAGGCTGCCTTTATCAGAAGGTCCTGCAGGACGGATTAGGACCTGTGTATCCATGCCCGCCCCTCGCTTCTGTTCCCTAGAACCACAGCTGCAAACAAGCTACCGTCCTGTGAGCCCGAAACTCTGCTTTCAGGCTGAACCCAGGCTAACATGCTCGCTGTCTCCAGGTGGTACCTGATCTACCCTCACCTCTTATGCATGAATGTGGCGAACGGACACACACACAGAGCTGTGTTCCCACCACCTCCCAGCACCAACCAAACCCTACGCCCAGGGAAAGGATTTCCCAAGCAACAGCCACGAAGACCCAAAGGAACCCGCTCCCCGGGGGAAGCGAGCAGCCCCCGAGGTGGTGGCGCACAGTCAGCCAGACTCGGGGCTGCTGGGGGGTGGAGGGGCGAAGTCTGGCGAAGGAGCTGCAGATGTGTGCCCCTAAATTATGATATTTTCCTTCCTCGTGGTGGAATGAATGCCGCCTCAGACGGACGGCTGACCCGCAGCTGTTTGTGGCGGGGGCCCCGTGGCAGGCCAGTGACTTTGAAAGGGGGGACTGGAGTGGAACCTGACAAAGGGACCACTGTCTTTGAGGGAACTTGACTGGAGCCCAGCGGAGCCCAGCGGCGGGAGTTTGCACAGCTGCGGCTGGAAGCAAACATGTACTTTTAGCTGACCTGGGCTCATGGCTTCGCGCGTTAAACCTGACACTTTCCAGATGTCCGGAGCCCTCCCCCGGCACCGTCCGCAGCACCCCGGCCCCAGGTACACCCCCTGCCCCCCACTGTGGCCTTGTCAATGCTGCATTGTGCTGGAGACCCTCGGCCGCTCCTGCAAACTCCACACCCCGACCTGAAGGTGAGTCCCCCAGGCTGAGCTGGAGATTTAAGAGCTGGATTCCAAGCCAGTTCAAGTTCAAAGTCAGCTCAAGGGCAGCTGCCACTCTGACTGGCATCATTCTCCATGCCTGACTCTGGGGTGGGTGGTGAGGGGAGGCTGAGCATGCCTTCCAGAGGGCTCTTTCCAACCTGCCCTAGGGGGAACCCTGAGGTCTCCAGCACTAGAGAAGGGGAGACTCAGCTGGAGTTTGGGGGTGTCAGGGGGTGTCGCTACGTGACCACTGTCTCTCAGTCCCACCTGGGCTGGAGGAAATCATGAGGCCCCCGTACGTGGACACGGGCAGGCCACATGGGGACCCCAGCTGCCACGGGAGTTCTGGGGGGGTTACACACCCCCACCGTGGCACAAGCCTTCTCCAGCACCATCCATTCTGGAAATTACCCCGCTCAGCAGTCCTACGTGGAGAGTGGGGTCAGCAGATGCTCTAGGCGCTACGCTGATGGAGGCAGGCAGGACGCTTGGACATTCAGGCAGGAGGCGGCTTGCTTGGTGGGTGACTCCCAGCCTTGAGGTCTCTGAACTCAAACGGGCGGAAGGAGCCGGGCTGGGGTTCCAGGCCCATGGAGGGTGTGGCCCCCCCCGTCTGGGCGCAGACACAGGAGGAGCCGCCCACTCCGCTCGTGGTCGGGGGAGGGTAAAACGAGGTGACCGGTGGCGGGGAGAGCCTTTTGCAGAGTCTGACTCACAGGCATTTTTCCTCCTGGGACAAATCTGAGAACACTGGGGACACTGCCTCGCTCAGGGGAGCTGGAAGGGACGCCC